ATCGCTTGAATCAAGCTAGATTTTTTTTATCAGTGCGCTAAATGATTTTTGCAAAAAAACTACATTTCTTCTTCTTCCCAAAAACCAGCAATAAATATTACATCTTACGTATCCAATTTCACCTTTCTTGCTTAATGGAAATTTGCTGATGCACGTCCGTTAAAGGCAATATGTTGGTGATTACAGTTGTTATATATTAGAATAATAATAATAAGCAATAATATAGACTGATACATCGCTTGCGCCTAATTACAAATTGATTGGTCTCAATCCTTAATTTAACAAAAAAAAAAATTAGGAAAACGGTTGACCCTAAAAGGCCATCCCTGCAACTTCCCGGTAACTCCATACCTAAACACTCAACATTTCACTTATTTTGTTTTTGAGCTCTTCGAGCTCAAAAGTCTGATAGACGTTTGACAAAACACTATTATTTGAATTTTTAAACCGCAATAACTTTTGAATTAATGAACCGATTTTTACGCGATTGGTGGCATTCGACGCAGTTTTTGAAACCTCATAACGGATATTTAAGTTTAAAACGATCGAACAACGAATTTCGAAGTAATTCCAAAAAACACTTTTTCCGGTTTTCTTTTGAAAACGATAACTCAAGAACGAATCAACCGATTTTGACCGAGCTGGCGGCAATCGACGTGCTTTTTTGATGTTGAGCTGATTAGTTTTTGGAATCGATAGGTAAAGCCGTTTAAAACTTATTCCGAGAAAACCATATTTGAAAAAAATTTTTTTTGTAGTTTTTTTGAGATTTCTCAAAATCTACCGGTCCAAATCGGTCCAAAGTGTATTCAAAATCTAAGTTTGGTCAATTTTTCTTATTTATAATAAAGCAATTATTTATTTTATTTATAACTTTTAATACTTAATTAATGAGAAGCATCATTTGTAGAATAATAAATTTATTTATATTTTATAAAATCGTCGAAGTTTTGATTAATCCACTAGTACAGAATGTCACAATTTAAAGTTTTTTTTATAATTGTAATTATGATTACCTGTGTATTGGCACGAAGTTTGCAACAGAATAATTTCTCAAACAAATCTTCTCAAACAGATTTCATTAAATTTGATTCACCGTCATTAGAGGTAATTTCATCCGGACTCAAATTTTTTATTTTTTATTTTTATTTTAATATACTTTTTGAAATTCCAGAACCTTTCAAGTAGATCCGAAATTCCGCTGACAAGAACAAAAAGTTCTACTCGGAGAAGAGAAAAGAATCGTTCAGTTTTGAGATGTTACTTTAACGTCATAACATGTTTTTGATAGACATTTAAAAAAATTATTTTTCAACTGTTAAAATTAGGAAGTTTTTTCAAATTTATTGTTTTTATATATTAAATTATAATCTTCAATTACCAGTATTATGAATATCAACTACTATTGAATCAAATATTGAATATGCAGTCAAATAAATCTCTTTTCAATTTTACTTAATTCTTTAGTCACGTTCCCAAATTTTAGTCCGTAACCTATTTCTTCGTGTTTGACGTGGCATTTTGTCGAATAACGCCAACCGCGATCAAATCGGTCAAGACGTTTAAAAGTTATAAGCGGTTCACACACACACACACACACACACACACACATACAGACATAGTGACAACCTCGCGAGGATACTCAGGGAAGCTTCCTGTGAGCTTCAAACGTCGAGATCTGATGAAAACTCGATTTTTGCAAAACGGGGTGAAAACAATAACTTCCCGATTTTTGAAAATCTTCGATTTTTAGCGGGAAGTTAAAAATATGAATATTTTGCGAAATAAAACAGAAAACATTAAATATTATTTATGAAAGATATGTTTAAAATTGATGACTTAAATACCAATATTTTAATTTAGAGTTTTAAATTGCAATAAAATATTGAATGTCAGCAATCCATAAATAAAATTAAAAAATAAGTAAATCTAATTACATTTTACATTTAATATCGTGGCATAGATACTCATTATCTTGAGTGAAAGCGAGAGTACCTCTTATTATCTTCGTAAAACATGAATAATAATATAAATAGGTTTTTTTACAGAATAATAATGACACTACAAAAAAGAATGAATTTATTTCTCTAATTATATTTCAAAGCATTAAAACTTATTCATAGTCAAAATTAATCCACTAAATTATATACACATGTATCGTTAGTTAATTTTATTTATAACATGTATACGTATTTACACTTACAGTCTACTTATTTTAAGAGAAAACGTAATTTTAAATGTACATTAGGCATTTCATGTATTACAAGGAGCAATTTCTCGGTGAAATTGTCGCATGGAATAGCACTGGTGTGTGTCTCTCCGAGCAATCATCTATCGCACGTATATATTATTATATATATATTGTAATATACGTGTCTCATTACATCTAAGCTCATCAGGTAGTACAAGTGTAGGTCAAAACCGCTGCTTATTGTCGACAGTGCCGTTGCGTGATTTACCTGAAATAATTATTTAACTATTTAAACTACGCTTTTTCTGTCTCTAATTATTTTATATCCGTTCTCATCCGTCACTTAATTTAATATACCACTTATTTATTAAAAGGTATTAACTATTATCATTGTCAGACATACAATAATCTAAATACTTTTTAAATAGGTATCTGTTTTTTTCTTAAAAAAATTTTTTCGGCTTAATAAATTAAGTAATTTTCAATAATACTAATTGATTTATTTTTATTAATTAAATTAAAACTTAAAAACATTTTTTAAAAATTGCATTTACAGTTTTTCAAGTTTTTTAAAGATGAAATTTTTTATTTTTATTTTTTTGCAGTACCTAATTTTTTAAAGGAAAAAATTCTAAAAATTTTTAGATGGCTAACTTTATTTTCATTCATTTTAAATTTGTTTTCATAAATATTTTTTTTTCTTTTAATACACAGAAAGAAAAATTTACTTGAATCAAGTAAATAATTTTCAAGAACTTCTTCTTCTTGATTTGAGTTGAAAAATTAATTTTATAATATTTTAGAAGGCACTTAAATTAAAATTAAAGTACTTATAATTTTAACAAAATCAACCGTAGCACCCGTTATACTCTAATCATTTAAGGGCGATAATATTATAGGTGATAAACATGGAATGAAGTAACTTTAAGAATTAATTTATCTCTAAAATAGACATTGAGTCATAAAGCTGATTGAATCTACGTCAAAGTAATTGAATCTACGTCGAATTTATCAGAAATTTATATAGATAAATAAATAAATAATTTTTGAGTTTATTAAAAATACTTAAATTATAATTAACAGTTATCTTAATTCATTGGAATTTAAAATGAAGATAAGTAATCACTCATTGTTTTGAATTGTGAAATATAACATTGTTTGTTATTGTATTAAAAAGCGTTGTTTTTTTTTAATATCTGTCACTGCATTTTTGCAACAACTGATTGGTATTTTTTTTTAAACACGGGGAAAGTAGTGACTTCGCCTGATGCGTTTCACGAGCAGTAATTCACTTAACACTTTCGCTCATGACGATCCATTAAGCAATCTATCAACTTTATATTCCAATAACAAAAAACATGTACACATCTACCGGTATACATTTAATTTAAAATAATATCTGGTGTTTACTTAATTGTAATGCTTAAGAGCACGTTCAAAGTATTGCGCATTTCGTTTATCAAAATATGTATATTAAACATATGAGAACACGTTTTAATTCCCGGAAATTAAAGTTTAATAAGCGATAATTTTTCCGCAGCCTTGAAGTCTGTAAACAGTTTTATTGCATTTTTTGGCAAGTTAATTTTAATTACTTTTTACAGTATAAAAAAACTTTTTAATTTCTAAATCTAAAGTCATTTTTTCTTAATTTTTTAATTAATTTTTTCTTAATTCAAATTATCATAAATACTTGATATAATAAATTTTTATATTTGATGATTTTTAGATACTTTAGGAAAGCAGCGCTACCTACTTAAGCTGAGAAAAAAATTTTCTCACCTTGAGAAAATTTTTCTCTTGAATATTTGATACCCATTTTATATTATTTTAGCGTGCAATTATACATATTGAATGAAAAAAAATGATGAAATATTATTTGATCTTCCTGTGACATGTTAATCAATAAAAATATTAATGAAAATTTACTTCTATCTTTATATTTAATTTTTTGGAGCAAGAGAGAAATTTTCTCAAGACAAGAAAATTTACTTCTATCAAAAACTAAATTTTTTCGAGCAAGAAGCTGAATTTTCTCAAAAAAACAAGATTTTTTTGACTTAAGTAAATTTTCTTGGATCAAGATACGTATTCCTTAAAGCAAGAGAATTAATTTTGTTGGAATAAGTGAAATTTCTTATCAAAAAAAATTTTTTTGCTTAAGAAAATAATTAAGAAAAATATTTTCTTGGCTCAAGTGAACCTATTTTTCTGTGAAAATATTGTCTTCATATTTGTTCAAACAAACTTATATAAATAATTATCTTCATTAGAATAAGTTTTTAAAAGCGTAAGCCTAAAACCGGTTTTTTGTAAAGACACAAATGTGCAAGTAGCACACTAAGAAGATCTCTTCATAGTAGACACACTCACAGTAGTATAGTATTGTTACTGTACTTAGAAAGTTGAGATTGCACTTGGTTGATGATGATGATGATGATGATGGTGATGTGAGGGTGGGGCCCACTGCTCTGTCAGTATTATATATATATGTATGGCAGACTGTGGGAGGAAAGAGGAAGGCCCACCAATGCCCATTCCATACCACACCATACCAACAACATAGCTCTCGTCAGGTGGGGATTCCAACTAAGCTAACAGTGCTCCGAGTCCTTCGACATTCACTGCTCGGATGATCATCGGGCAATAGACATCAAAATCTTTCTTTCGTATATTTTTTATTTACACAAGTGCGGATATTTTAATTTATTTTTAAATATACTTGTTGCAGTTAATAATTTGCATTGATTAATTTCAAAAGAACGGATTAAACGAGTTTCATCAACACAAAGTGTCTTATTGCTCGATAATGGAGAAAGAGCAACTTGATTCTTTGCAAACTGTTACCGTGGGATCTGAAAAGATTCCGCCACCTCATAGTCATTATGCACCTAGTGAAGTTTATTCTTCCTCAGAATCACCTCCGGTAAGAAATTATCTTTTTGTAATTATGTTATTTATTTTTGATTAAAAAATTACTAATAGGTAATTAATTTTTTTACATGCCTTGACATTAAATAATTAGAAAGTATGTTCTCATGGATGATTAAGTTTAAAAAAATTTCTAATTTAACTACATCTACAGTACTTATATAATAAAATATTATTCTGTGTAATAACAAATAAAAATGACATTAAAGTTAGCAATCACTTGACAATTTTTTTAATAAAAAAATTATTTAAAAAAAAGTTTCATTTTTTTTATTTAAAATTTCTAAATGTCAATTTTTTTTTTTATCATAATTTATCTGTTATAAACATGACAATTTTTCAATTTTATTTAACAAAAAAAATTTATTCTAAAAAAACTATTAAAAAAAAATTGAATTTTTTATTTTTAAAAATTTTAAATCTCAATTTTTTTTTCTAATTTTATTTTTTAAAATTTATACATGTTAATTTTTTTTATAATTTTTTTTTTTGCCGTAATTTATTTGTTATAAACTTGACAATTTTTTAATTTTATTTAACAAAAAAACTATTTTTAAAAAATTTCATTTTTTATTTTTAAAAATTTTAAATCTCAATTTTTTTTCTAATTTTATTTTTAAAAATTTCTACATGTTAATTTTTTTTATAATTTATTTGTTAAAAAATTCCTAAAATAATTAAATATCTGCTCAATTAATTTTCATCAAATAAAACGCAAGCAGTATATTGCTTTAAAGAATTGTGGAGTTTAAAAAGTAAATTGTTTGGCTTTTTTGGTAACAACTTTTCAAGGTAATATGACGTATATATTGACACATCTTTATTTAGAATAACATTTACATTTTCTGTAGCTACCTTGGTTAAAAATATTGATTGAAAAGGTTTAAAAATGATGAAATTTGAATATTTTTAATTCTTTTTCATGTATATATAGATATACATTTTACAGTTTACATGGGATGACTGATTCCCAATACTTTTCAATCAATATTTTTAATCAGGGATAAAGATCGTAACTCGAAGCATAGAATTTAATTCTCTAAAATAATATTTGTATTATAAATTAATAAAAACCAACTGTTATAATAGATAATTCCCGAGAAACTAATATACTTTAATTTCGCTACTTATTATTATTGTCACTTTCTTAACTTCAGCGTAATATTTCAAAAGACAATTTTATTTCTTGTTAAATGAAGTTGAGTAAGAAATTTTTTACTATTTATTTTCTTTTATAGCATATACTCATTAAGTATTATTTAGCTGAAGAAAAATAGTTGCGTACAATCATGCGTATAAAAAATACGGGCTATCTTACGTAACTCAAACATTAATTGAGTTTAGTTGCACTGACATTAAATGCTCATATTATTTATTAAACATAAATTAATCTTTAAAATCGAATAAATCTTTATTTTTTTTATCACTTAATTTAACTGTACGGCAATTAAGTGAGTCATTAGGAATAAAATATAAAAACAAAAAAGTAGACTTGTGAAATTTCATTAGGATTAATAAGGAGGTCCTTTATCTAATAGTGAGGTTTAGATTATACTTTACCGGACAAATTTTTGAAAAAATAAAGTTTTTAAATGTTAGTATTTGTTCAGAGTCTTACGAGAAAGTCAGGCGTTTGCAGTATTTCTCGAATTATATTATCAGTCATGGATTAGATGAAGTAAAAAAAACCTAAAAATTAGATTTTCGAAATATTCAGGTTTCTTTTTTTTCAATAAAATATATCAGTTACCGAGATATTTATTGAGAAATTAATTTTTAAAAATCACAAAAAATTCTCAAGTAACCTACGTTAAAATGGAGTCAAAACATTTGGCAACGTTGCGTATCGCGCGAGCTTCAGACCATTCAATAAATTCAAACTAATTTATTTATTTACACTGACTGCAAAAACTTAAACGTGGTTAAGGTTATATTGTGCAAATGAAAATGTAAACAACCGAAGTACAGCGTTGCCAAATCACGGACAGGTTACTAGCAGTTGATTTGAAAGAGTCAAATTAATTTTTGTATTTAACTATTTTTTTTTTTTTTTATTTTCAAAATTTCAACGACTAATGCCTCATATACTATTTATTATTTAATTTTAGGAATTTTTATGGGTTTCTTTTTTTTAATTATCGTATATTGACTACTACAATTGTTTTGACTCAAGTGGAGCGAAAGGATTCCCTTAAAACTGTTTCACTTGGCAACAGAGCTGTTTACTTTTGTCTCAGTTTTCTTGGATGTATAAGTGGATAAACACCTTGCTATAGTTAGTCTTGGATGATGGCCTACTATCTCCTGGAAGCCTCTCACCAAAGTATCGTCCATCCAAATCGAGGTCAAAATGAATCGCATACACAATCTTCATCTTCTTTTTCTGTTTTTATATTGTCCTTCGTATTATTATTAAAAATCAAAAACAAAATACAGTATCTTCCCCATGAAAAAAAAAATATATGTCGAAATATATTAAAAATCTATAAAAAAAATATATAAAATATGTATTGTAAATATATTTTTAATAACTAACTTTTGGTCGATTTTCATATAAATTTTTTTTTTATTTTAAGCTATGTATTTTTTATGCATCCAGGGTGACGACTGAGCACTAATTTCAAAATTCCCTGACCAAAAATAAAATTCCACAACCTAAAAAAAAATATCACAGAAAAAAAAATTAACTTGAATCAAGAAAATAATTTTAAAGAAGTTCAACTTCTTGATTAGAGTATAAAAATTCTTAAATTAAGAAATTTTTTTTTGTTTAAGTAAATTTTACTTGATTAAAGAATTTTTCGTCTTGATTCAAGACAATTAAATTCTTCAAAATTATTCTCTTGGTTCAAGAATTTTTCTCTTGATTCAAGTTAATTTTTTTTT